ATATATATATATATATATATATATATATATATATATATATATATATATATATATATATATGCGTACAAAATATATATAAACACATTGCTGCTTACTGAGAAGGAGTGGAGACAGCCGCTGCAGTGCCCCGCATTTTTACTTGTTTTTTCCTCAGGCAAAATATAAAGAGGAGACCTTTGAAAGAGATGTAATGCATATATATATTTATATTTAAATAATATAAATAGATATATATACAAAAAAATATATACATATATACATATATATATGCATATATTTATATTTATTTATTTAGCACTGCCCTTTAGAGGAGACCATATAGAGAGACAGTCTCCTTACGCCCACATCGAGCTGGAGCCGTCGATGGGTTGCTCTGTCTCTCTTTCATGCTCAAAGACATCTATGCCTGTCTCATCAAAGACATCTCCTCGTGTCTCTTCATCGTGTCTTAGGGGCTGCTGTTCAGATTGCTGCTGCTGCTGCTGCTGCTTCTGCTGCTTATACTCCAGCCGCTGCTGCAACTTGTTGTCTTTTTGCATGCGCCATATAATAAACAGCAGCAAACCCAGCAGCACCGCACAGAGCTCTCCAATAGCCCTCAGTGCAGCAGCCTGAAGGCAGCAGCAAGAAGATACAAAGAGACAAACAAGAATAAACAAAAAATATTATTTAAGAGTCTTTCCCTCTAGCAATAAAAAGACAAGGAAGGTAAACGCATACAGCAAAAAAAGAGTAAAGGTAAGGGCCAGCCAATATCAAAAGAAATGAATTACGAAGTGCATGCATGCACGCAAACACTGTAGCTTTTCTTTGCATGCGTGCATGCGTACATGCATGCATGCAAACACCGTGTCTTATATCTGCATGCATGCATGGAAACACTGTACCTTATGTCTGCATGCATGCAATCACCTTATCCGATCTTTCCATGCATGCAAATCACATATCGAATGTTTGTATGCATGCGAACACCTTATATAATCCATGCATGCATGCAAACCCCATATATAATCCTTGCATGCATGCATGCATGTGTGTGAGACATGCATGCATGCATGCATGCATGCATACATGTATGTATATATGTAGGTCTTACATTCCAGGTTCTGTCTATGCCTTCATAGCAAGCTAAATATGCAGAGTTGAGGAGATGCTCCTTTATAAATGAACAACTGAGGGAATTATAAAGAGAAAAAAGAATGCGCTCCATTAACCCCATCATTTCGCGGGTGTACTCAACTGTACAGACAAACAAAACACAAAAAACAAATGCAAGACGGAAGGAAGATACACACAAACATTAATACCAAATGCCTGCCTGCCTGCATGCATGCATGCATTTTGTATGCATGCATGCATGCATGCATGCATGCATGTCTTGCATGCATTCATAGACAGAGAGAGTAGAGGGCAGATAGACAGAGAGAGAGAAGTAGTGTGGACCAGAAGAAAAGGAGACAAAATAACGAGAAAAGGGAGACAGTGAGAAAAGGAGATAAAGAGATGAAGAGATGAAGATATAAGAGCCAAGGGAACAAAGAAACAAAGAAATAAAAAGACAGAGAGACAAGTGTATATATATATATGTATATCTCTGTCTCTTTATATTTGTCGCTATTTATATAGAGACAAATATAAAGAGACAGAGATATAAAGACACAAAGACATACAGAAATAAAGAGATAACGAGATACAGAGAAGAAGAGACAAACAGACAGAGACATTGAGATAAAGAGACACAAAGAGAGACAGAGATAAAGAGATGAAGAGAGAAAGAGACAAAAAAAGACAAGGAGATGAAGAGACAGAGACAAATAGACACAGAAATAAAGAGATAAAGAGAGAAGGGGGCAAATGGAGAAGAAGAGACAAAGAGACAAAACAACAAAGACAAAGAGACAAAACAACAGAGACAAAGAGACAAAGAGACAACGAGGATCTGCATACCAACTTGCTCAGCGTATTGCTGTATCTCCTTGCCAATGTCGCGGCCTGAGAAGAAACAAAGGAGAAGACCGCTTGCTTGTGATGAAACTATGCATCCCTCCCTCTGTCTCTTTGTCTCTGTCTCTGTCTCTCTTCTCCTGTCTCTTTCTCTCTCTCTCTGTCTCTCTTTGTCTCTGTCTCTCTGTTCCTGTCTCTTTCTCTCTCTCTGTCTCTCTCTCCCTGTCTCTTTCTGTCGCTGTCTGTGTCTCTGTTTCGATCTGTGTCTCCTTTTTGTCTTTCATCATCCTGGGGTGTATATGGAGCTCATGTTGAGGTGTATGTGGAGGTGATTTGTTTGGTTTTCACTGACTTGCTACTGTAAGGTGATAAACAGATTGTTCAATAATATTCCAAGACCCCAACTCAGGCTGCCCAAAAAACTCTTCTCCTTTGCAAGTGCTTTTTGTGGGGTTGTCTTGTTTATTGTAGCGGTAGCAGGGGATCGTCTCCTCCAGCATTTGCAGCTTGAATCTGCATAGCAGCACTGCGTTTTTCAGCTGCTCAGTGTATCTCTTTGCTTTTGCTGCTGCACCACTGTTGGTTTCTCCTGAGGCTTTGTACTCCGCAGTCTATACACCATACATATACAAAAATACACAAACATACAAAACAACATTTCTTATACAAACAACAACACGCTCTCCCTCTCCTCTCGCTCTCGGTATATATATATATATATATACAAAGTACATACAGTAGGCAGAACTATAGGTATATATATATATATATATATATATATGCAAACGTATACATACGCATATACAAATATATATATATATGTATATATGTTAATATTGATATAGGTGTACATTTTCATGCACACATGCATATATATATATATATGTGTATATATATATGCATACTTGTGTGTATGCAGTCTATTGTGTGTATTTGTGTCCATTGCATTGCAAATGTCTCTTCTTTTGTTTGTTTGTCTCTGTTTTGCTCTTTTGTCTTTATTTCATTTGTATATGCCTCTATATGCATATACATATATATATATGTATATACTATATTACCTTTAAAATACGCAGCATATACTATATAATATTTCAAGCTATTACAGTGCGTGCATGCATTGAGGTTCACGCACAAAATATGTATCATTCTTTTGGGGTGTATCTGCATGCATGAATATATATTGGGGTATATGTAATAAGGATAACGATATATTTATATATATGCATATAATAATGATAACAATATATATATATATACAATAATGATAGTTATATATATATATATACACCTATCTAATAATCACAATATACATATATATATATATATATGTATATATATAATATATATTATATCTATATTTTGATAACATACCTTTTCTTCTTCTACTTCCTTCAGTACTTTAATGAATTCTGCGCTGTCTTTGTTTGGATAATTTGAAGTAATGATTAATTTGGTGCCGATGGTATCAAAGCCTTCTAAAGAGAAAGGCGAGAGAAGGTTGCTTACATCAAACAAACCCAAAACTTTCTTTGTCTTTCCTTCTCCTAAGGAGACTGTTCTTGTAGTCACCTGAATGCCACTCTAAAACACAGACAGACGCAACACACACACACACCCAACAGGGCTTAGGGTTTAGGGTTTACGGGGTCAGGGTTTAGGGTTTAGGGTTGTAGGGCCTAGAGTCAGGGTGTATGGTTTTAGGGTTTAGGGTTTTAGTGTTTAGGGTTTAGGGTTTAGGGCTTGAAAGGCAAGGCCCGATGCCCCGCTACACCGCAACAAGTGCTGAAGCTGAGCCTCCCTCAAACACTCATAAGCAGCACTTCCCCTATCCCAGCAGCAGCAGCAGCAGCATCAGGAGCAGCAGCAGCATCAGCAGCAGCACCAGCATCAGCAGCAGCAGCATCAGCACCAGAAGCAACAGCAACAGTCTCAGCAAAAGCAGCAGCATCAGCAACAACCGCAGCAGCATCAGCAACAGCAGCAGCAGCAGCAGACTCACATCTAAAATCTCTGGAAAGGTGTCTACTAAGTCTTGGGTAGAGGGGTTGGCCTTGAGCTTCTCCCCATCAAAGACAAACATATACCCAAACTCATTCATCCAATCCTGAACCTTCTCCACATCTGAGCACCAAACCCCAAACCCTAAACCCTAAACCCTAAACCCTAAACCTGGAGGTAGCCTAAGCCCTATGCCCTCTTAGTCCTCTAAACCCCTAAACCTAAACCCTAAACCCTAAACTCTAAAGGTAAGAACTCCGCGGCTCCGAAGGCAACAAACCCTCCACAATTGTATAAACCCTCTTCTGAATCCTTTTTTCGCTTTCAACCTTGACCATTGTAGACCTTCGGGCTTTAGGGTTTAGGGTTTAGGGTTTAGGGTTTAGTCTTTAGGGTTTTGGGCGTGGGTTTTAAGGGGTTTGGTCTTGGGCCTAGAATGAAGGGTTTGCGGTTTAGGGTTATGGATTTAGAAATAAGGGGTGAGGCTTCAGGGTCAAGGGTTTAGGGTTTAGGGCTTATTTGGGCTAAGAATTGGGTGTTTAGGGTTTATCAGGGTTTAGGGTTTATCAGGGTTTAGGGTTTAGGTTTCATGAGGGTTTATTAGGGTTTATTAGGGTTTATTAGGGTTTATAAGGGTTTATGAGGGTTCACTGTCGAGGATTGGGGCTGTCTCTGGCGTAGTAATTGCACTGATAATAGCTTGCTGGGCGTCTTGTATCTGTTGTCTTGCATCATGAATTAAATCTGAATATCCGGCTGCATCTAAAAGATTATAATTGTCTTGGGTGGCGCAGCTTCTAAGTGTGTCTTCTGCTGCTGCTGCAGCAACGGAGACACCTTGGCCGTGAGCTCCAAGTGTCTCCGTTTGCAGCTCTGTTCCCCACAGTGTCTGTACACCCCACGAGCATACAGGGGCCCCTAAGCTATATGCAATAAAGAGACAGCCTGAGAATAGAAGGCCCACTGCAGCAATAAGCAGCAGCAAGACCCAAGCTGTGCTGCTGCAGCTTCTTCCACCCTTTCCTTTGGTGCATGCAAACAAAATAAGAGCGACAACAGCAAATGCAATACCTAAGAACAGCAGCGCCACCTCCGCCCACAGCAGCAGGGGCCCCAAGACTGCAGCAAATGCCCCTACATCAGCAGCTTCAGAAGCAGCAAGCTGCACTCCCGAAGTAGCAGCAGCAAGGGGGTCCAGGTCTATTGATAGCTCCAACTCAGGTAGAGTTACCCCCTGTATTGCTTTATCCACAGTTTCTGAAAAGACTTCATGTGCAGAGAGCAGAGCAGTGTATGTATCATCTGGTCGGAGTGTATCTACAGCAGCAGCAAAGAGACTCGTCATATAATGTTTTTCTGCTGCTGTCTTCATTTGCTGCACGTTATAACCAAACGCCTCATGCGTTGCTGAAAGCCCTATTGCGTCCCCCTTTAATACCTTTCCATCTTCTACAAATCTCTCGATTAAATCTAATATGCTGCTGCTGCTGCTGTTCCCCCCCAGGAGACCCTCTATGCCTTTGAGGGATTGCTGCAACACGCGTATCCCTAGAAACTTGCTGCTGCTGCTGCTGCTGCTGCTGTCGTCGACGGCGTGCAGCAGCTGGGAAAGGAGACTCCTGTTTGGAAAGACACTGCTGGTGCCGCTGCTGCTGCTGCTGCTGCTGTCTCCTTCCTGCAGCAGAGGGTGACCCTGATAGCCCCATTCAGCTGTCTCTACAGCCTCAAATGCAGAGCAGCCTGAAGCACCAATAGATTGCAAAGATTGCTGCATGGCTATTTGACCGTGAAGGAGTGTATAGACACCAGCAGCAGCAAGACTAGCCCCAATAATAGTGAAGCATAAGAGAAAGAAAGGAGAGAAGTGTCTCCTTTTAAGAGACAGACAGCAGCAAATCCCCCTGCAGCTGCTGCAGCACTTTTGAGGTAAAAAGAAGCATATAAACAGCAGCAAAGTTATGCTGCCTGCAATGAAACATATTAAAGGAAGGGGTCTGAATAGAGACCAAAAGACTGCAGCAAAAATCTCTTCATCATCTCCTGATGTTAGCTGCTCCTGCAGCTTCTGCTGCTGCTCCTCGCTTAAGTGCTGCTGCTGCTGCTCCGTTGGCTCCCGCTGCAGCAGCACGTCTTCTATTGTCTCTTCTGAGAGGCCTGTTGAAATCTGAAGAGGGGGTAAACATCAAACAAAGCACATAAATAAATAAATACAGAGACTAACAAACAAATAATAAAAAAGAAGAGCTATACTACTCTATCTCTGCATACAAACAAACAACAAAACGGAGACAAACTAAAATGAGAGACAGCAAAGCAGCTGCTGCTGCAGAGCATCTAACAGCAGCAGATATATATTTTTTATTTATGTGTATAATGAAGTTAGAAGTAATATACAGTATAATATTTTAAAAAGAAGTGCAATCAAATACTACACTTTCAATAGCTGCATGCACTTGCAAATCCACAAACAGAAGGAAAAGCTGCTGGTGCTACTGCTGCTGCTACTGCTGCTGCTGCTACTGCTGCTGCTGCTGCTGCTGCTGCTGGTGCCATTGCTGCCGCTTTGTTGCTGTTGTTATTGCTGCTGCTGCTGATGCATCTGCTGTTGTATTTGCTCCTGCTGCTGTCATTGTTGCTGCTTTGGTGTTGTTGTTGCAGCAGCTGCTGCTTTTGTTGTTGTTGCTGCTGCATTTGCTGCAGCTGCTGCTGCAGCTACTAGTCTTACCTTGTTGGTAGTTGGGTCTGTCCAGCTTTTGCAGATGCCTGTGTTTTTCAGCGAGTTGAAGGCTTCTGCGAATTCATTTGAATGAGGAAGGTCAATATACACCCCAGCAGCTGAGCTCTGTAGAGCCCTTTGAAGATCCATATACGCTCTTGAATATCCCCCGCTGCGGCTGCTGCTGCGGCTGCTGCTTCTGCTGCTGCTGCTGCTTTGGAGAGCGCTTAAGGCAGTGGTAGGCTCCAGAACTCCGTGCGATTTTGCGGGGTGTACATACACCCCAGCATCTTGGCGGTTCTGGGGGGCCTCATTGGGCCTAAGAGCCTCAGCAAAGAAATAACTAAAGCCTTTGAAACTAGGTAGGGTAGATAAGCAAAAGAAATATTGTAAAAGAAGAAGAAAAGGAGAGGAAGACCACATCTTGACAGGCCTACCCCCAGCGGTGCATGAAAACGAACGAAAAGAAGTTCAACTATAATTCAAAATAATTTAAAATAAAATATATAATTTAAAAAAATAAAAAACAATGAAAAAAAAGATATACAGTGGAACCCCTTGGGTGGGTGCGCCCCAGTCAATCGATGGAGTGTAGGCGTGGGGGTATGATGAGAAAGCCGCTGAAATCTTTTTTTTCTTGTTTTTATTTGCAATAAATAAATACAATAAACAAAATAAATGCTTACATGAGATGTATTTAGACATAAAAACAGAAGAAAATCAACAGAAACACGCACACACTCTCGCTGCTGCTCCCCTTGAAGCTCGCCTAGACGTGCCTTCATACACTGCTGATTATTGAGGGAAGGCCTCCCTCTCTAAGAAAATAGTTTTTAAAATGAAAATAAATTATAATAAAACAATTTTCTACAAGATTTCAAACAAAATAAACCCGTTTCTTACCCCTCAAGTCTATATATACACCAACACGCTCGCGCACACAGCTAGCTGCACGCCCATTGCTTGCTAAGCAACACTGTAGATACACCTAAAATTATTATTTATTTTTCTTTTATTTTTAAAATAATTTTTTAATATAAATAAAATAAAATTACAGACTTTTCCTCCTGCTTTTCTTCCCTTTATGCTACACCAATATCACACAGCGAAGCACAGCACCGCTGACGAAGCCTCCGGTATTTCTGTCTATAAAGCAAACAAACAAATAAAGTTTTTTGTAATTGAATTATTTATTTATTTAATGATTAAAGTTTCAGACAAAGAAAAAGCAAAGAAAAAACAACATGAAGGCATCACAAGCCCCGGTCGAGCAGTTTCTGCGCACCCCACACCATAGGGAGACCACTGGTCACCTCCCCCCTCTCCAGTGGCTAGCTGCAGTTAGCTAGCTGCAGCTAGCTAGCTGCAATTAGCTATCTGCGGGGGCTAGGGGGCTAGGCTCTAGTAAGCGATGTGCATCTAAACAAGTGCTGCAGCCACAGGGTCGATCCTTAGCAGAAGGCTGCAGCTGTCGAGCTCACATAGGCCCTAAACCCTAAATCCTAAACCATAAACCCTAAACTTTAAACCCTAAATCTATGTCTCCGTCAGGGTTATGTTACAACAGGGCTACTAACAGATGCCGATGCTGTCTCCTCTCCGCTGTCTGTGCATACACACACCTGGGCCTGGAGACACCCGTTGCTGTAAATTGTGTTAGAACGGTCATATTATTTATTATCATTATTATTTATTACTATTTATTTTTATTTATTATTATTTATTATTATTTTTAAATTAGTTTTTTGCTATTATTATTACTATCTTTTGTCATATTATTATTATGTTAGGAAATATAATAATATATATACGTATATATTTAAATATATTTTATAATAAATGAAGCATTCATAAAACACTTTTCATGCAGAGAAAGAAGAACTGTCTGCTCTTGTCTATTTACTTATTTCTTTTGTCTTTGTGTATCGGTTTGTTTGTCTCTGCTTGTGAGACTTATGCGTCTCTGTTTGTCTGTCTCCTTCTGTCTATATCTATCTACTTGTCTCTGTAGTTATGCCTGTGTCTCTGTCTCTGTCTCTCTGTTTGTTTTCTCTGTTTCTCCAATGTGTCTCTGTTTGCCTGTCTCCTTTTGTCTGTCTCTTCTTCTCGTTGTTTATTTACTGCATATAATGGCCTCTGTCTCTCTTTATCTCTTTCCCCTGTCTCTTTCTGTTTGTCTCTGTCTGTCTCTCTCTACTGTTATGCATCAGCCGCTCTCTCTCAGTTTGCCTTTCCTGCAGCAGAAGCAGCAGCAGCAGCAGCAGCAGTAGCAGCAGCAGCAGCACCTGCTGCTGCTGCTGGGCAGATCAATTTTTGTGAGAGGCCTGCTATATGTGTTGTGAAGCAGCGAGAAAAGGTGTTGCTGCTGCTGCTAGCAGCAACCCTCTGCTATTAGCTGCTGAGCAACCCCACCCAATAACCACCTAATCACCAACATTAGGAGACACTTCATTAGGAGACAATTCAATGACAAGCTACATAGACAGTAAAAGTTTGTTAGATATATCAAACCAAATAACACATTACCCTCCATTATACGAACGTATAAAGGGCTTTTATATATAAAGAAATTGTTATGGTGGGGTTGTTGTTATTATCATCCCCCAATAACAACCCCCTAATAACAACCCTCTAATAACAACCCCCTAATAACAATGCTGCTGCTGATCGCAGCAAGAGCACCAGCAGGAGCAGCAGCAGCAGCCTCGGCGGTCTGTTAGAGGCCCAGGTCTTTGCGCAGCAACTGAATGCCAGTAGAGGGAGATCCTGAAAGATAAACCCTAAACCCTAAACCCTAAACCCTAAGGGATAAACCCTACCCCCGAGTTGCTGACCCCAACTCCTAGCTTCTATACCATACCCTAAACCCTAGCTGCTACTTGCTAAGCCCTAAACCCTAAAACCCTAAACCCTAAACCCTAAACCCCAAGGGATGAACCCTAAACCCTCGCATGCCTACCTGCCCTCGCGAGGGCCTCCTCTGCGTCGCTCAGGAATTTTGGTTGAAGGCGTTGGCGCATCTGCAGGCAGCAAGGAGTGAAGCAATTGCTGCTGCCGTTACTGCTGCTGCTGCTGCTGCTGCTGCTGCTGCTGCTGCTGCTGCTGTTGCTGGTGCTGCTGCCAACTGGGCCTACTGGTATTTGTTGTGATTCTCACCTCTGTCTGCAGCTTCTCTTGCTGCGTTTCGGAAGCCCTTTTAAAGAGACGGCAGAGAAGAAATACTCCTTTTGTCTCTAATAATGCAGACAGATGAGGAGACAGTACACCCCAAGCACGCGACAACACCTCAGGAGACCCCTCCTTTAATAACGAACACACAACACGCTGCGTCCCCCTGCAACACAGCAACACATGCAGCAGCAGCAGCAGCACACAAGCCTACAGTCACCACGCTGCTGCTCCTTGTGCAGCAGCAGCAGCAGCAGCACATGTGTTGCTGCATCTGAAGAAGACCCTTTCTGTCTCCTCGGATGTCTCCCCGCTGGAGCTCATGTGGTTTCTGTCTCCATCTCGTTTTGCTCTCTGAGTTAATTATTTCTTTATATTGCTGCTTCTTTTTCTCTTATGCTCTATCTCTCTCGCTCTGCCTGTCTCCTTTTGCTTTGTTTCGTTGTCTGTTGCTGTCTCTGTCTCCTTTTTGTCTGTCTCCTTTTTCTCTCTGTTTATTTTCTTTTGCTGTTCATCTGTTTGTATGTGACAACCGTCTCTGAGGCCCTTTGTGTGTCTGTTTGCAAGCGTTGCTGCTGTATGATCGGTGTCTCCTTTTGTCTCTGTCTCTCCCGTTGCTGTGCTCCGCTGTCTCCTCTTCTGCTCCTATACGGCTTGTTTAATCTCTGTCTCTTTCCCTTTATCTGTCTGTTTCTTTGCGTGTCTGTCTCTGTCTGTCACTCTGTCTGTCTCTCTTTAATTGTACACCATTATCGGTGTGTCTCCTTTTATGTCTTCGTTTATTTGCCGCCTTCTATTTGTTTTTCCTTTTGCTTGTCTCTTTTATTGTATCTTTAAATGTTCTATAGTATTTATCTGTCTCCTTTTATTAGTCTCTTTATACTTATCTCTATTACTTTCTTTTTTAAATGTTTTATAATATTTGTCTGCCTCCTCTTATTATTGACTGTACTTATCTCTTTTACTGTCTCCTTTAATGTTTTATAGTATTTGTCTGTCTCCTTTTATTTGTCTCTGTTTATATCTCACGGGTTTTCTATGATTTCTTTTTTGTCTCCTTTTAATTCTTCTTCTACCAAATCCAACACCCGCAAAACAGTTGGCTGCCCTGCACACACATTCAAATAACATGCCTATACAAATATATGCATATATATATGTATATATATATAAATACATAAATATATATATATATATATATTTATACATATGCATTTATATATATATGTATATATATGGTCATAATGTTGACAGACTATTTATAGGTGTCACACCATATATAAATATATATATATATATATATATATATATAGACATCTGTATATATACAAATGCATGTGTATATACATATATATATATATATATATAAATATGTATGAATGTATAAATAACTATAAAATGTCTATATATATATATATGTATATATACATATACATATATATATATATATACATGTATATACATCTATATGCCCAGCGTACCCTCCGGCAGCAAGGCGAGCTGCAGCAGCACTTTGGAGGCGCAGCAGTTGGTGATGATATCTCTGAATTGTCTTTTGTCTTTGTCTGTCTCCTTTATAGACAGCGAGCAGAAAGAAGAAGAGACAGCAGACACCGCAGCAGGCCTCAGCTCTTGAAGCCGCTGCTGAAGACCCTTCAAACTGCAGCGCGCACACACAAACAAAACAAAGAAATACAGCAAACATAACCCCACACATCAATGCGCAAATGCAGCAACAGCAGCAGCAGCAATTACAGAAGCAGAAGCAACAGCAGCAGAAGCAACAGCAGCGGCAGCAGCAGAACCAGCAACAACAACGAACGACAGCAGCAGCAGCAACAGCAGCAGCAACAACAAAAACAGCAGCAGCAGCAGGGGGCTACCTTGTGGGAGACGGCAGCATGAGCAGAGTGTGATAATGCGTAGGCAGCTGCCTAGACACCCCATCTTGCTGCAGAAGCTGCAGCAGCAGCAAATGCCCGTAGGGGTCGAAGGCGAGATCAAGGGCCTTAGGGAGTACTTCCTACAAACCAGAGACAGCAAATTAAGCACAAACAGCAGCAGCAGCAGCAATTACAACAACAGCAGCAGCAAGTGACATAGAGCGTCAAACAGAGACAAGACAGACAAACAAAGCAGCATAACAACAGGCCCATGCCTGTTTGTACAGATTGAACAACGAGACTGAGGTGTACATACACCTCATTAATACACACAGATATATAGACACAAGCAAAGGGGAGGATCGATCTATTTATTTATATGCATATATATCTTCTATCTACAGATATACTTATATATATATATATATATGTATACATATATGTTGTCTGCACCTAAACCCTAAACCCTAAAACTTAAAACCAAAGTGTCCACAGGTAAACCCTAAACCCTCTAAACCCCAAACCCTAAACCCTACCTTAAGTATTTGTTCTGAAAGCAGTTTTGTGTCGTCTACAGTCAACAGCAGCCGCAGCAGCAGCAGACAGTCAACGGGGTTTGTCGCGAAGGCGAGACAGTGCTGCTTCAGCCCCTTAATTAAAACCTTCCTGTCTTTTGCTGTTGCAAATCCCAACAGAGAACACAAAGCCTGCAGCAACGCAAAACATACACTAGGGTTTAGGGTTTAGGGGTTACGTTTTAGGGTTTAGTCGCTTCCCACACAAACACCGCAACCTCATATCAGCAAAAATCACAGCAGCTGCAGCAGCAGCAGCTGCAGCAGCAACAGCACCTGCAGCAGCTGCTGCAGCAGCTGCTGCTTCATGAATTCGCTGGTCTATAGGGAGTGCCCTCCTGGGGTGGGGTGTATGCAGAAGAGGAGACACAAGGAGACAACACATAGGGATGATGATGCTGCTGCTGCTGCTACTGCTGCTGTTGTTCCTGCTGCTGCTGCTGCTACTGCTGCTGTTGTTCCTGCTGCTGCTGCTGCTGCTGCTGTTCGTACCTCGACACCATCTTTGGTAGTAGCAAGCTGCAGCGCGCCTTCTGCTGTTGTCCTCCACATCGCAGAGAGTTGCTGCGAAGAGGCGACGCTGAGGAGACACCAGAGAGAGAAAAGGAGACACTTTAAAAGGAGACAGAAAAAAAGAAGGAAGAGAGACAAAATAGTAAGAGGAGGAAAGGAGACACTTCAAAAGGAGACAGAAAAGCGAAAGAAGAGAGACCAAATAAGAAAAGAAAGGTAGAAGGAGACGCTTCAAAAGGAGACAGAAAAGCGAAAGAAGACAGACAGAAAAATAAAAGAAAGACACTAGGGTGGTATGTACAGGGAGAAGAAGGCGAGGAGACAGAAAAGAAGAAGGACACAAGATAGAAGAGACAGAGGGGCACACTAAAAGACGTACAAAGAGAGACAGAAGAATAAAGAGACAAAAGAATAAAGAGACAGACAGAGACAAAAAAAGAGAGGCGGAGAGAAAGAGAGACAAGGAGACAGACATAGAGATGCAGCATAGGCAAACAACAAAGAGAGCATCAAAAGATATAGAGATGTAGAGGAATAGAGAATGAGAGACAGTTAGATAGATTATTAGATGCAGATTGATAGACAGATATAGATAGGCAGACATATATATATTATATATATACATATATATATATATATAACGATAGGTAGATAGTGAAATATTGATAAATAGGTGAACAGAGAGACAGGGGGACAAATGAAAGGAAACAGACTGAGAGACAGAAAAAGAGACAAGCAAAGAGACCAGAACAAAGCGGAGACAGCTCAGCAGACACCCCACAGAGGGTTGGTGAATCGGCTGACACACCTGCAGAAACCCTTGAGGATGCGGTGTACATACACCTTGTTTAAAAGCTCTTTATCAACAAACTTTTGAATTATAGAGTTGAGGCTTTCTATGGAAGGAAAACAAACAGCAGAAACAAAACAGCCGCTGCAGCTACATGCAGAGACCCCCCCTTCAGGTGTACAGACAGCAGGACTGTGGCGGGTGTGGGGCAGAGCGAAGAAAGAGACGGCAGACAAGTAGGGAGACATAAGGGAGACAAGGAGAAATGAGACACATAAGGAGACAGGAGACAGATAAGGAGACAGGAGACAGCTAAGGAGACAGAAGAGACATAGGGAGGCAGGAGATAGACAATGAGGCAGAGCAAAACAAAGAGAAGCAGACACAAAAAGACGCAGGAGACAGATAAGGAGAAGGAGACAAACAGTATATTCCCTTACCGAGTGTTTGATTCCGCTGGGGCTCAGATAAGAGACTAACAACTTGAGAGAAAGATTGCTGCTGCTGCACTTGGGGGACAGACACCAACACGGTCGGCTCTAGCAGCAAACAATTCAGCAGCTTCTGCTGCCTGGAAACCAGCAGCAGCAGCAGCAGCAAACAAACAGCAGCAGCAAGCAGCAGCAGCATATAATAACTACGGGTTAGACCTAAAAGGAGATACTTGTGTGGCTGTCTCTTATTTATTGTATTTTGTTTAATTATAGTAAATGACACAAGATAATAAATGCAAATAAACAAAATAAATAAAAAACAAATAAACAACCTAGTCCCTATGATAGTAATATACCAATACACCGTATAAAGAGCTCACACGAAAAAGAATAAAGAAGAGACAAAAAAAGAAAGAGACACTCCAAAGAAGAGACAGGCCTTCAACAGTAATACTTATAATCACAATAAAAATAAAAAATAATATCAATAATACTTATAAAAATAATAATAATAATGGTATTGATTAGAATTGTTTTAAAATAGAAACAGTAAGAAGAAAGAAGACAGGGCTACTTGCGGTCATGAAATAAACAGAAAAAGAAGACAGACGTTTGCTTATTATTGATTAAATTAAATAAAAGACACAAAGACACCCACCCCACAGCTGTCTTCTGAGAGGTGAAGAAATACTCCCAGACAGTCGCCCCGTGCTGCACGCCAAGAGACAATAGATACAAACTTGCTGCTGCTGCAGCTGCTATTGCTGCTGCTGCTGCTATTGATATACATATATATAAATCAATCAATATCCTCTTATATATATGGATATAAAGGCGAAAGACAGCAGAGGTCCAGACAAAAAAGACAGAAGGAGACAGGCGGGGGATACGAAAAAAGACAAGAGGAGACAGCATGGGGTGTATATGCACCTTTGTGAATGCAGTGTCTCTGCGGCTAATAAGAAGAGACAAAAGTTTTTCTTTTTGTTCTGCCGTCGCATAAAGAAACATTTTAATGCAAACATGATGAAAAGACTTGCAGCAACAAAACTCCAAAAAGTCCTCTGCAACAACACAAACAACACGCGCACGCCTAAACCCTAAACCCTAAACCCTAAACCCTAAACCCTACGCCCTAGGGCTTCAATCATGCAATTTCCTCTGCCAAGCCCGGCAGAGTTAATGAGTAAACAAATAAAGAAAATCTGTAAAGGGAGAAAGGGGCTCTAAAAATTCTGCACGCCTGCACCTAAACCCTAAACCCTAAACCCTCGAGTATTCTCCTCCACATCGTATCATTGGCAGCGAGTTTCCACCCCAGCCTCTGTCGTAAACCCTCGACCCCAGCAAGCCCTAAACCCTAAACCCTAAACCCTAAACCCTAGGCCCACTTGCTAGCAGATCCCACAGGCGTTTTCTCGTCTCCTTCTCCGCGTATTTGAGACAAATTTGTGCGAGGCGGGCGGTGCAGCAGTGCCGGTCTTTCTGCGGAGCATGCAAAGCGCAGTGTGCGTACACCTCGGCAGCTTGTGAGGGCTTAGGGTTTAGGGTTTAGGGTTCGGGGTTAGGGGGCATCCTCCAGCAGGCACTGCGAGCACGTAGACAACATAGAAACAAATACACAAACGCCACTGAGACCCACCCGACTTAAAGGAGCCTCAAGAAACTTCACAGCCCTTTCTACTATACGCTGCAGCGTTGATTTGCTGCGGGGGCCCCCGGGGCCCCCTGAACCCTCTGGGGCCCCCCCCCCACTCTCCTCCGTCTGCCGTATCCCGCGCAGGATCTCGTTATACAGCTGGTAAGACTCATGCACAAAGACCTTGTCATCTGCTGTCTTGCTGCTGATTACTAAGCGCAGCAGTTTGCGGCGTTTGCTGCCGCTCAGTTGTTGCTGCTGCTGCTGATCTTGCTGCTGTGGGGGAGAGGAATCTGGGTCTGTACTGTCGGCTTGCTGCCTCGCTGCCTTCTTAAAACATGCAGCAACAGCAGCATCTGCTGTCTCTCCCGCATGCAGCAGCTGAGGGTGTTTCTCTAGGAGCCTCCTCAGCTTATCTTGGCCGTCTATCAGCTTGCGTTTGCGGGGCTCTTCTTCTCCATTTGCTCCTTTGGGGCCCCCCTCATTGCGGCGGGGCCCCGGAGGCCCTTGAACGAACTTCTTCTCCTTCCGGGGGCCCCCATGGGGGCCCCCCTCAGGTCCCTTGGGGCCCCTGGGCCCCCGCTGCTTCTCCTCCGCGTTGCTGCTGTGACGTGAGTGCTGCTGCTTGTTGAACGTCTTTGGGGGACCCCCCTCTTTCTTCTTTTTCTGCATTTCGGCGGAGCTTGTGTAGCCATCTAAACCCTTTATATCTGGCCGCCTTAATAGACGCCCTCCTTGCTGCTCCCTCTCACGTTTCTCCTGCAGCTTGCGGCGTGCATGCGCCTTTTTATCTTTCCGGGGGCCCCCACCCCGGGGGCCCCCCCCACGGGGTCCCCCGTGCTGCTTCCCTTTCATTGTATCTCAAGCCTTTAAGGCCTTGAAGCAGCAGCAGCAAAGATCAGGTGAGGGACCGCTGCAGCAGGAGATACAATACAGGAGATTTGTGCTGCTGCTGAACGCCTTCTAAACCCAAATGCAGCAGCAAATCAATTAAAAAGCATCTCCTAAACTCAGGAGAGACAATAGAAGTAAGGGGCCCCCTGCTAGCTCAGCTACGGTGGGCGTGGGGCCCCACGCCTGTTTGCAGTGGAGTAGGGAGAAGAACAGGAAGAAATAAGGTGTATGTACACCTAGAGATTGAAATCAAAAATAAAAACAATGTATTTAATTTAATTTATTAAATAATTTTATTTTAAGTGTATTTTCCCCCCCATAGCGAAGATAAGGATGCCGATACCCCTTGGGGCTTCGGGGGCTATTGAAGGTCTTGCTGATGTATAAGCAGCAAGATTGATTAGATTAAGTTTGTTTTATTTCTTCTCATAAAATACCCAAAGGAAATAAAACTTCTCTCTTAATTCTCCCAAGAGGAGCACCGAGAAACACTTGAGCTGCTACAGACTGCAGCAACAGTTTCAATGCCTTGGCTGCTGGGGGACTGAACTCGCAGCTAAACCGTGCAGCAGCAGCAGCAGCAGCAGAGGCTGCAGCAACGTGTAGCATCAACTGCAGCAGCAGCAAACCTAACAGCAGCAACAGCATCAGCAGCAACTCTGGAAGGAGCCTCGCAACAGCAGCAAACGCAACACCAGCAAAGGTAGCAGAAGCAGCAGTAGCAGCAGCAAGAGGAGCAGCAGCAAGGATAGCAGCAGCAGGAGCAGCAGCAGGAGCAGCAGCAGCAAGCAGCGGTGAGTACAACGGCAATACAGGCTTTCTGTCAGCATCCTTAGCCTTCTCCAAAGTTCGTGAGGGAGGGAAGACTTCAGCGTCTAGGACCCCAAAACCCTAAACCCCAAACCCTATACCCCAAACCCTAAACCCTCTCCTTTTCTGATTTTTTTCTGCACTAGCCACAAATGATTTCAGAAGACAGTGGCTCCTCCTCGGAGTCTGAAGCTGCAGCAGATCTGCTGGATTCTGTCTTAGGCATAGGCAGCGGTGCATCACAGGGGCCGAGCGCAGGGGCCCCCGCGAAGGCCCCCCAAGGGGCCCCCCAAGGGGGTCCCCGGCAGCCAGACCGAAATAAGAAAACGAAGAAAGAGGTTAAGAAGGAGAAAGAGACGCAGGAGCAGGAGGCCCCTCCCCTGCCGCCGTACAAAGGACTGAAACTTGAACTCAAAGGCCTGCCCCTGGAGGTGGGGCCTCCCACCAGCAGCAGCAGCAGCAGCAGCGGCACGCAACAAGGAGAAGGCTTGCTGCGGCTGCAGCCGCATCAGAAGCTGCTGCGGCTCTCTATAGACGGCGATCCTACAGCAGACCCTGCAGGTGAGTTTCTCTCTTTGCATCTGATGTTTTTGAATCTGTCCTTATCTATGAATATATAGGCATATCATGCATATACACAACAATTCTACTGTGTATACGTAACGCACTGTTATCTATAATATTATCCTCTATGCATATTATATGTGTATACATATATGCATACTCGCATATGCATATATATATATATATATAT